GGTCATAGCTTAAAGAAAACAAACAAAAAAAGCTCAACACACCACCACAAACTTGTTTGGATCATAAAATGTTCAGTAATGAAGTAATCATAGATCAGTGGGATCACCTGAAGGTTTTTATATGTCTGTCTCTCTGCCTAATGTGTTTTCCTCTTTGCCTAACCACCCATTCGTGCTGTTTCTCCTCTGCAGAGACACAATACACCACTTCTGCTGACTGGACAGAGGGTCAGATCAATACAGGGCAAATTCCTGTTAATGAGATTTTGATTCTTTGACATCTCCAATCAATGTTTACTTGAAACACATGGTGGAAGTCTGCTGTTAGCAATCCAGTTCTCAATTGTTTCTCAAGTAGGCAATCAGAGATACTGGTGTCTTTTATTTATTTATTTATTGTAAATGAAGGTCATAAATTTGTGTTGTTCAGTGTTATTTAGCTTCTTAATATGCCATTGGTCTGCATAACATTGAAAGCTTATTTTTGTGTTGGTGCTAGCTTTTAGAAAGAAAGTTTCAGTTTATTTTACTAGGCAATCCCCATGTCTCTTAATTAGTAACTTTCCCTAATTTAATTCCATGGCAGTGACTATTTGACAGATGAACTAGTCTTGCATGTGCACACGATGCAAACAGCATTTTTATTAAACATCAGAGGTACACAACCAAGCAACACGTCCATCAGTTATGTTGCCATTTGCTGTGTTTTATCAACATCTAATTTGTGGGGGATTGCACTTTTCAATTACAAAAAATGCATCTCAAAGGTGAAGTCTCTCATTTCATGAGAGAGGATGAGGTAGCTACTTTGATGTTAAAACATCACTTCTTGTAGAGTCTGGGCTGTCCTTTGCCATGAATATGTAACCTGGCTCACTTTATGTCCAGATCCTGCTGTGTGCAGGACAACAGAGATCATCAAATGACTAGTCTCTCTTCTTTTTTGACCAGGCTTGCCTCTATTTAAGTGGAGTAAAGAGAGAACAGGCAGCAGAAGAGCCAGGAACAGGTAGTAATGGTTGGTGTGTGCCCAGTTAGATAATGTTTTATGTCAGAGAGGGCTGGAATGCCATGAGACATTGAGTGAGGACATGCACAATACAGACCACTGGCAGGTTGTAGAGGTATTTGCTGTGATATCAAATATAGATCTTCTGCACTGGTGGTTGCATTTTGAGAATTTCTTTCAAAAACTGTTTATAGATGCATATCCTAAGGAGTGTATCTCTTTTGGATTGAGTGTGTAAACTTATACATATAATACTGTATAGTGCTAGCGCATCCCTAAGATGCTGAACTCTAAGTGTGAGTTTTAATCCTGGCAGTCTAAAAGAGTCTAAATGGTTAAAACTGGAGTACCTGACTTGTGTTGACTGTGTCCTGCATTAGATCTCATTTGACAGTCTCCAGTTGTGGGAATTAGGACTGCTACTGTATTCTCCCCGTTAAACAGGTCATTTTGAGTCATTCATTATAGCTCACCACTTTCTGCAAGTATAAGAAGTTTTTCAGGTATGAAGCAATGTATATTCTGTAGAGCTACTGCTATCCTTCATTTGAGAGGGGCTTGTCACATCATCCTGGCCATGAAAGGCTGCTCCTTAAATGTGTTATTTTAAAATAAAGTGTAGCTCAAGGCCTGGTACGATAACTTCCAGTTAGTTAAAAAGGAACTTGCTGGAGGCCAGCATTTTGAGAACAGACAAACCAGCATTTGAAAATTTTGCCAGACAGAGGTCTACAAAAGGTTGCTCAGAGATGCAAGGAGAGAGTTGTTCTGGATGCTCCCTCTGTGCTCTGTCTCTGAATTTTCTTGACTCTGGGGGCCCTCTGCATAAAAGAATGAAAAGAGCCAGGTTCTAGGAATGTGCTGACCTTCTGGCCAATGCAGATTGGTCAGGCAGCCGCAAAACAGCGGTCAGAATACAGTCCTGTTAAACGTGATGAATCACAACTTCTCTTTCTGAAGAGGGAAAAAAATCCAAATCTACTGAAATTGAAACATAATAAAATAAAATGCCTCTAATGCAGGGTAATCATGTGAATTTGCCTTACACATCATGATTTATAGGGCCTTAAATATACTTCCAATTTCTGTCCCTTTAATTCTGTGCACTCTTGGAAAACTGATCGGTTGAACTTGCATTTGAGAATAACAAAATGCAGCCAGCCTAGCTCTGCTCCCAGACAAAACCATGCTTCTTATTTAGATGAAAATATTTATTAAACTCTTCTTGTGCTGGCTTTGCTATCCTTCAGGATAAATGAAAGTTTCCAGTCCAATTAATAACTAACCAAAAATGAAGAATATTTGTTTGAGATCTTGGTGGATGAAATGAGTCTCAGCAAATGCTGCAAATTACTCCAGTAACACCTTTTCAGAAGCATAATACTGAGTTGCAATTGTAGTAAATTATCAGCTTTTCTCTACAAAGCTTTGATCCTTAGAGCATATTTTTTTTCTTTTGCTAGTATGCATACCCCCAAAAAAGAAATGTAACAAGATGCTTAAATTGCTGACTGTTGTGTGTGATATCGATTGGGCTCATTGATGCTGCATTATCTAAGACTAAATTGGCATCAACTTTTTTTCCCTCTGACTCCTGAAGATTTTGTGTTCTTTTTAATTGTTGGAGGAAGGTCAGCACAAAGTGTACCCTCTGGCTTTTAATCTTAGAAATGTCCTAAATGAACAGAAAACTGCACGTCAGCGAAATGAACTCTTGCTGAAAGCAATGTGTAGGCTTCTCATGTTTTGCGTTTGTGATGACACAAGCTTTGACCTTGGCATGTATCTTTTTGAAAGAAGAATCACATTTGTTCCCTTCAGCCTAATAGCAATGTTGATGGCAGAAACTGTGCACTTGCATGAACAGCAGCTCCTGACCTACTGCAATTAGTAGCCCTGGTTGAAGAAAGGCTTTAATATTGAAGTGCTGTTCTCTTGTAATATCTCAGCGTAAGGTTCCCAGCTTCTGTCTTTCTGCAGTCAAAATGGAAGTGGTAAGAGACATGGATGATTAGGGCTTGATCTACTAAATTATTTCTTTGTCCTTTTGGCTGAGCCTGGAGTCTGACAGATGGAGAGCTAAACTTGTGGACTGGACTGTTCCTACAGCCTGAGGGAATTTCTGAGCTCATCCTTTATCTTTTTTTCCAGCTGTGGCAGGCAGGAAACAGGAGTCATCTGCAATATCTCAGCCTTTGGCCCCAAAGAGCAGCAGTGTGGTGTGTGGGTGGATATGGATGCTGTGGGGCAAGGAGTCCCATTTATTTCCCCCGAGCATTCAACTCAGCCTCCATGGTGTCCCACAATACACACTTGAGAAATGGGAGGAAATATAGGTCGAAGTTTTAACTTATAAAAAACTGTCAGGCTGGAGGTGCCAGCACAGGTTGCAGTGGCCTTCGTGCAAGAAGGGCAGCAAGCCCAGAGAGATCCACGCCTTAGTGCTGGTTGATCCTGTGCTGCTGCACTGGGAGGAAATTAATTTCAGCACTTACTTCTGAAGTTATTATCAGGGCGTTTGCATCAAGTGCTGTGGCTGAATGCAACCAGGTTGAATGCACAGGGAGAGAAGTTTATTTTCTATCTAACTGAGCTTGCCCAAAACTAGGAAAAAAAAAAAACTCAAGCCCTTTTCCCTCGGGGTTTTGGCTCATATTTCTTTGTTGAGACAGGAGATTCATCAGGAGAAGAATAGCTTCCCATCTGTTAGGGATGCAGAAGAAAAGAAATCAATTTAGTACTCTGATTCCCCCCACCTAAGTTTTGCTCTCCCTGAGGAGAAACAAATTTGGTTTACCCCCGAAGGCTAATGAGGGCAAGAAGAAAGTGGAACAGCTGAAAAACTTCTCAGCATTTTAAATAATACTTGGAGGATAAAGCAGGCCTGGAGGCATCATAGTGACTTTGAACAAAGCTGGAAGCATTACTGGCCTCTGTTTGCAGAGGTCTGTGTAAACAATTTCCAGTTGGGTGAATTTAGAGGCTTCCCTGGCTTGATTTGAAATTTCACTTAAATTGTCCCCAGTGTGTCAGGGACACTCTCAGGCAATGACAGTTGGGAGATTTTTCATGTCACCAATTTGACCATCTGCCTTTGACAATAAAACGTGTGCAGTAGTTGATGAGATGTTGCAAGAAAAAACAGAACGCACTGAGAAAAATGCTGTGAGCAATTTGTGTCGCATTTCTCTCTGAGCCTACAGCCAGGGAAAGCTGTGGAGCAGATGCAAGCCCAAAAGGAGGGGATTTTGTGCACTAAATAACTGAAAGTGAAATACCAATCTTCAGATGTGAACCAGCTATGAGAAACATCAGATGCTTGTACAATGCTTATGGGAGTCTGTACAAAATCTGTGTGTGAAATCTCTATACAGTAAGCTGAATATAATGCTTTTGTATATGGTTCTACTGAGTGCTGTTTTGTCAGCAAGAAGATGCTGAAGAGTTTGTGGTTTCTGCATGTGATTTAGTTTAGGATATCCAGATGGAGTTTGAGACACCTCATCCATGGATTCCTGGAGACAGCTGATGCTGAGGAGTGCTTTGTATCCAGCAAACCTGGAAAATGTGTGACTGCCAGCTCTGGCTTGGAGCAAGGGCTGGGGGATGCAGAAAACCCTCTGGCTCCAGTTCTCTGTCCCGCCAAAGTGGGCCAGGTCTCTTTTTGTCTCCCTTCCCATTCCTGATTCTGTGGTTTCCATCGAAAAGTATTCTTCAGCCTGACTGCACATGACCTATCTTCCAGCAGGAGAGGCTGGAGAAGAGATTAGAAAAAGAACTAGGTTCCAATTTCCATTCAAATATTCCCAATATTGTCCCAAGGGCTCTGCTGTCCATGTGTCAAGCTGCTTACATGTGTTACTGTTTGTGTATGTAATGTGTCCTCTTGGTTGCTAAAAATATGATAGCGTAAAGGGAATATTTAGTTGTTAATCAAATGCCTTAATGGCAAGAACTGTTTTTTTTTTTTTTTTTTTTTTTTTTTTTTTTTTTTTTTCCAGAGATTTTTCAGAGATGAGCCTTATTCATGCATAGAAAGAATTTCCTTTTGATTTATGCCGAACTACTTTTGTAGGATGCATTTCTCTGGTGGTTAGTATGGTTTTGTTAATCTTTTGTTGTGCTGTGTTAAATGCAGTTATTTTCTGATGGGAAGACAACTAAAAAGCAGAATTCTTCAGGAGACCCAGCTGAGGGTGTAAAGAATGACCTTGCAGAACCTTCCATTAACAGGAACCTCTGACTGAAACTGCGCATAGGAGCTTTGTTCATCTCTGATCTTTCTCCCTGCCATTTTTTTCCAGCAGCAGCAGTATGCTCCTCTCTTTCTCAGTCACTGAGATGGCCATGCCTGTTTCCCTGGAAATAGCACTGAAGCTGAGGCCCTGCAGATCAGCTCCTGTGTGCTCTGATCTGAACCTGCCGACCCCAGCCAGAATTCACCGTGCCAGATCTTTGGTCACATCACCTGACACCAGGCTCCTCAGGTATTCATAGCTTTGCTGTGTTGAGGTCTGATGTGAGGCATGGCCCTCTTCTTCCCTCTTCTTCTCTTTGAGACCATGTTTAGGAGACCTGGATTTATTTTTGCTGTTCTGCAGAGCTGTAAATATTGAGGGGCTCTACATAGTTATTAGTGTTTTCCTGCCCTGTAGGCTTCAGGAGGTAAGATTTTTTAGCATATGGGAAGATCAGACTTTTAGAGAGACTGCTGTGAAGTGTTATGTGAAGCACTTTGATTTCTTTTCTTGCAGAGCACGTTATGGGTCATGTTGCCCTGAACTGTTCTTCTTACACCCACCTGCTGTCTTGAGCTCATTTCCTTACATTGAGAAAGTACCTGGGAAAGAATTGACTCAGAAAATATTTAAAGGTGATATAATCCCATCAGAGTTTAGAAAAGTAGGTAAAAGAGATGTTTAAAATGAAATAGTTCGTCATTTTGGGCACTGGAACCTGCACCTGTAGATGTTTTCTCAATGGTAGGGGAGATCTGTCTTTTGCCATGCTTATTTACTGTAAACTTTTCAGAGCTCTTTGAGGAATCTTGGACATAGATGCTAGGATGTAAGGTCACATATCTACATCAGTTATACTTATGTAGTTATGTAGAACATACATGATATTATTTCATCAGTTATTCTAGGATGCAAGGTCACCCTACATTTATTGTGTGAAGTAATGGAGAGCCAGCAAAAGCTGTTTATAAATTGGTTTTCTAAGCACTGTTGGGCTGTTCTAGAATTTGTGCTTTGTATTTCCTAGCATTTCATCTGCATATTCAGCAATCTCAAGATCACTTTTCAGTTTTTCATTGTCAGTTCTTGGCCTGCCAAAAGAGTGAATTACTTTTCTACCTGATCATCTGCTTATGCAGACACAGAAGAGAACTTTTAGATCATGTTTCTGCTCTGTATTGTAAAACCCAGTGTTACTATAGGCAAGCATTTTATTTTAACACAGTATATCTCTCAGATTTCCAGAACAAATTCCATATATAGCTCTGTTTCTTTCAGTAGAACCCCCTAACAACAGATATCTGGTCTTTTCCTGTACACATTAATTTTGCCTCAATAGCCAATAAATGTTTGATGTGCACATAATAATAACACAAAGAAAAAGTGATTTTCTGCTGTGTTGTATTTACTTTCGTTAGATATTTCAAAGAAGATGTAATGTTCGTAGTGTTCCCAGATGCTTCATGAAAACAAATACTAATACCTAATTACTGCTTTATAAACACTTTATTGTATGTGGCAGTAATTTATACTTGAATAGTATTAATGAGACCAGAGACTCAGTCCTGACCTAAGAGGTATTTGCCTTTCTGATTCCAATTTTCCCCCCTTTAGCACATACATCTTTGTCATTCTCATTTTGTAATAGAGAAAAAAGAAGTAGAATCTTTGTTAAAAATAGATTCTTACTTATGATTTTGTCAAAATTTTACTTGAGTTTCTAGAAAACAAGAAACAGTAAATGAAGTCAACAAGTTGTCCCTTTCTCTACGTTATCATGTGTCGTCATGGTAGCTTGAGGACTGGCAATGGGTTAATGTCCTAATTAAAATCAGTTATTTCAGAGAGTGGTATCTGTAATCGAATCAGAAACTGTTCATGGAAAAGAAACCAAGCACAAGACAAAGAGTTCAGACATAGGAAACACTGTATATCAGCACAAATCCAATAAAAGTAAAATCAAACCGACAGTGACATTTTCCTAGTGACAGAGAAAAGTGGTACATCCAGCAATGAACTCACTTGCCTGGGGACTCATGGTGACCATCAGCCTCCAGGCATGATGTATGATGCTAAGTGTTCAACTTGCAAGTGTGCTGCTAGAGATCCTTTTTGCTGTTCTTGACTGAAGACAAAAAGTTGTTTTAAGAACAATTTACAACAATGTATTCTGGTTGATGCATTTATATCCTGTAGTGTCTTCTTTCTGTGAAACTCAGACCATGCGTTTTATGGAATACAGGACTCATTAAAGCCAAGCATTGTCAGTTAAGAAACTGTTCTCCTTGCACAAAATAGTAAAATGGGCTTTTGGTGCAAGTGAATTCATATATAGGCTTGGTTGCTATAAACTGAGCCTTGTATATGCAAACTACTAAAAATTTCATACAAATGCTCGAGAATGTACCATCCGGTTATGTTTGGACTCTAAAGATATCCATATTTAGCTTTCTATTGTGAATATGTTTCTTGACAACCTGGTAAAATACAAGATAATAAAGAGACACAAAATGTAGCTAATGTTCATTGGCAACATATCTCTACATATGTTATTGTCACAACTGAATTAAATTATATTAAAAAAACAAACTTGCTAGTAGGTTTAAATTATTACTTAAATCATAGATTATGTCTGTTAAAAAGTCTAATCAGACTTTTCAGAAAATCTATATTCTATTTGCAGATGGATTGGCTGCAATGGTAATCAAGAGAAGAAGACCATAATATTATCCACATGAAATCTGGGGAAAGAGAAAAGGTAAAAGACTTTGAATTTACTAGTTGCAACTTTTTGGTTGTTTCTTTGGAAGACCATATCATTACTGATGAATGGATTCTCTGATACTGTTGAATAATCAATTCCTATTTCTTATAAACCCACAAGGAAAGAAAATAATTTCTTTTAATCAAAAAGAAAAAATGAGATGGTATAATACACCATTCAAAGAGGCTAGTAAATACTATAGCTGAGTTAAACTACTTGTTATGATTGACAATAATGGCTTTTATTCCTGAGACAAGGCTAACATTACCTTGGCTGAAATGTGTGTTAGGATTATATGGTAGAAATTTGTTTATTATTAAAACATAATTAGGTATGAGAACCATTTATTGGTGAATTTGGATGGCAAATTTTGGCCTTGGTAACTTCCAATTTTTGGGTTTTCCAGTGGATTTCTGTCCCATGCACTCAGGGAGCAGGTAAGGACCAGATGTGGGTCAGGAATGGGAGTCTTGGTGACCCACTAGGCTCTCCTCAGGGTCTTTCTGGGTTTTAAGATCACTTGCCTATGTGTTACCTTTTTGGTTACTTGTTCATGCTGTGGTAGTCACTGGACTCTTTGTTGCTGAGGTCTTGTTTTTTCTAGGTGTGTTTTGGAAACCTGGTATCCTTATAAATTTATTGAAGATGGATTGAAAAGCAAGGAAAGAAGAAAAAAAAATATTATTTAGAGGCAATATTCTTAGCTGGTGATGCCATTCCTAGCCCAGCTAACGAGGGAATTACACTGTCCTTAGGTTTCTGACATGTGTTGCTCTTGTGTTTTGCTCATACATATGTAAACTTAGCAAATAGCGCAGAAATTTCAGTGGAAGCTGTAACAACTCTGCAGTGCTTCTTGGACTGGTTCAAGGCTTCTCAGCAGAGCAGACAAAATTGTATTTTCTGATCCAAGCCTGAGGGCTGGAAGCACAAGTGGGACAGCGGGTAGGTCTGAAAAACTGGGTCATGGACTCACACTCCCTGGGGAGGCTGGAGGGAGCCGGGAGGCTGTGACTGCTCTCCAGCGTCAGAGAAACCTGTGTTTGTCCACTTCATTTGGGCCAGGAGCCGCCCTTTTGTAAGTAGGTGAGAACAATCTGTCCACCATTAAAGTTCAGTCTTGATTGCTATTATCTGCAGGGTGACTGAAGTCAGGCAGCTTCTGTAGAGATGCTTGTCTTTTCCCATTTTTTAGCAGCTGTATCTGGTGTTTTGTTGTGTGTGCCCGGTCTCTGAACTGTTCCACCTATTTTCAGCCTTTTTGAGTTGAAGCATCTTTTCTTCATAGTATTTATTGTCTTGCTGAGATAGGGAACATCCCTTAAGAGGTTTAGGATGATAGACGTGCATGATGGTAAATCTTCCTGCTGCTGTGGAATGGTAGTTGTGCAGTGGTGGATGCTGGCTGATATGTAGTGTTGCTGCCCACAGCCAGGAAAAAGAACATCCAGAAGGTAACAAAAACATTCTTCTTTTCTCAAGTGGATTTCACGAAGGTCTGAAAATGATCACTTTTTAATGTTCTTCTACATTGGACATGTACTCTTCCCAGGGCTTGCATTCAAATTTTAATTCTTGCAACATAGTTATAAGTGAAAATGGTTATTTCCATACCTTCTATCTCTGAGCAGGTGAATATGTTAGCCTCTTTAGGAATATTTTACATATTTTTCTCTTTCTGAATCATGTTTATAATGCACTTCAATGAGCAAGGTTTCCCAGTGTTAGCTGCATAGGGATTTATGCAGAATTTAAGATTTAAATGTATTTATTTTATTTTCCTCTTGTTGCTCTCATGACTTGATATGTAATGGCTCACAAAGGAGACCAGGTGCAAAGTGTCCATAGACAGCAGGTGGCGTTTGGGCTCTCAAATCCACAGGGAAATGTTCTGTTATCCCCTGTTAGCATAAGAAGTTTCATGGCTGATGTAAAGTAACACAAAGGTTCAGATGACAATCAGATTCACAGATGCTGTTTCTAGAAAGACAAATTGCAAAGGACTCTTGAAGATGCTAAACTTGCATAGTAGTTGTCTATAATGTGATTTGGAAACTTTAGTGAAGAGAATAGCAGAGCGAGCTATTAAAATTCAGTTTTACAGCCAACAGGAAAGGTATCATGAGCTGGCATTTGATTCTGCTCTCTTTTGTTCTTGTTTTGCTTAATTAAAGAGCACAAAACTAACCTGAAAATGTCTGTACAAGTACAACATACATCTATTTCCAGGGTTTATCTGCAGTAATGTTAAGATAGAAGATTTTTTCTTTATTATTATCTTTTTGCAGACGACTTTTATCTAATAAATATAATGAAGGCAGCAAGGCAGCTGTGTGTTTCAGTTTTCAGATGGTGCTGGGCATGATTAGCATAGAAGCAGGCAGTAAGGATTAAACGACAGACTCAGATCACTTTCAGGCTCTTCCTCAGGGTACTGTTTCTTTTTTGTTGTTGTTTGAATTAATAAACTCACAAGGCAACACAAAATGAAGCGTAATTCCTCAACCAACACAGCTACTGGCTGCCTCCCTCACTTGCCTGGGGCTGGTTCCAGGAGTCACCTTCCCCTGCTCACCCTGGCAAAGTAGGAAAGACCAAAAATGGGCTGGAAGAAGGGTTGCTGAGTTTTGTAAAAGTCAGGCTGTGTTACATACACAGATAATATGAGGGTTGGTGGAAGGTGGGGATTCAGGGTTGGGTGCTCAGGAACACACCCTGCATTGCTCTCGGGGGCAGGTGTCTTTCCATTTACCCTTGAAGCAATGTAGGACAGCTGCTCTCTGAGCTTAGGCAGTAATCTATATCTCAGAGGCAAGGCCATGTAGGTGACTCTTTGAATTTCCTTTTACATGGTGGAGTTGGTTCTGTATCAAATCTTCCGCATTCTGTAGATGAATATCATGAATTTGGCCGGTGAACGTTAATCATGACTGTATCCCTTTAACAAATGTAATGATGTATAACTAGGCCCACAGTAAGTAATTACTTGGACTCTCTTACTAATTAATTACCTGAGGATATTTATGGTCTGTTCAGCACAAGAACAACTGGCGTTATCCATTAAAAAAAAAAAAGAAGAGCATTTGCAGAAATGTTCCTAGTGTAAAGTGTGTTAACTTAATGCTTGATTTCAAGAACAAATGTTAATACATCTTTTTTTTCTACTGAAATAACTCAATTCCAGCCCCTCTAGTTCATAAACAAGTCATTTATTTACTCCAAGTAAATATTCCAAAGTCTTCCATTATGAAATTGTAGAAATTAGAGGTGAAAATGATGTGTTTATTTCTGCAGCTTATTTCCTTTTCCTTCACAGAGTTGGTTCCCCTAGAATACATGCTGATTTTGTGTACTGCAGAATAGCCTCCCCCTGGGAGTTACACACAATGGGTTAATTTCCAACATTACTGAAATCAGAACTTTTGTTTTTATTGAGTGATGATTTCATATAACAGATTTCAACTCTACTATTAAGTGTGGCAAGCAGAAGAACTGGAAATTCTCCTTACTTTGGCTTAGTGATGCAGTGGGATGGATGATCAGATCTTCCCAGTGGAAATTCCTCTAGGTGTGGAAATGCAGTACAATTTTATGTCTGTGTGTCCTGCTGTTGTAACATCCATGGCAATAAGTCGATCCTCTGAGCCACAGAATCTGCTCTCTATATCAGTGCTTAAAAAAAAAAAAAAAAAAATATATTTACTAGTCATATTTCCTAGATGAACAATGGAATAAAGGATTGCTCAAAAATACTATTTTTGTTTGTTTTCTGTTTTCTGTTGGTTTTGCTCTCCCAAAGTCTGGGATGATGAATGCCTGTGCCTTAACTGAGGCATGAGGCTTCATGAGTTACAGTGACCCAAGCTCACAGGGAAGAAGGAGGGAGGATAAATGAAGGGATGAAATGAATGGTGGTGATAAAACAATAAGTAAGTGTCCTTTCATTTAACAAGTGCCAAGGTACTGTGGGGGCTGGGGCAAGTGCTTGTTGGGTACTTTTTGGAGAGCTGTGGCTTGGGAGTTTGTGTGGGGTGCTCAGGAAGGGCTGGAGTAGGGTAGCAGGAACACAAATGGGTACCACCAAAGTTCATGGGTTGCTTGGACCTCAGTCTAACAATCCTTGCGGGGATTTTCTTGTGTCACCTCTCCCCCAGTTGCTACATAATTCCAGAAGTGCTTTTATTTTGAGTGCACTGTGCCACAAAATCTGATTTTAATGGGTGAAGTGCTACCAGCTGTCACTCCATTACCTCCCATGTGCTGACAGTGGCTCTGAACATGGCTGGCTGGTTAGTGGGTCTTTGCATGAGGTCATTCACATATTCCGAAGGTTAACGGGAAATTTTTCTGGGTCATTCAAGCCTTTGTTTGTTTGAATGTGTCTGCCTGGACTTGATAAAATAACAGCAATTAGTATCATCTTTCTGAGAAACAGGAGCGATCTTATCAGATTTTTGGAGGAGGTTAATGCTAATGTATGATATTTATATGGCTTTGTATTGAAGAACTTCAATTTGCAGCATGAATAGTTCAATTTCTATTTAGGGTACAACTCCAAAGGAAGTATAATTACAGTTAAAGGGTGTCACGGAACTGGTGAAGCATGAGGTTAAGAAAACACAGGAGATATTTTGTGAACACATTTTAGGCTTATGCCTTGTAAACATAGAGGAGACGTAACTAAATAAGAAACAACTTACCAATTGGTTTGGGCATTTCACCTCTTAAAAATGGATTAATAAATAATGCTGCTCACTTTGTTCACTTGATTTTTGAAATATCCACCTCTGCTAGAGCCAGAATATATGAGACTATCCACTCACCCAAAATATACATAATTAGTTGCACCTCTATCAGAATTTCTTCAGAAATCTCAGAGTGTCTCATGGGCTAGGTTGCTAGAAGGCAAGGGTGCTTGTGAGAGCTGGGTAACATTTAAACATCACTTCTTCCAAGCTCAGGATCTGTGCATCCCTAATAGTAGGAAATGGGGGAAGGGAGACAGGAAACCTGTGTGGATGGTCAAGGAGCTCATTGATAAGATCAAAAGGGAGAGGAAGGTCTACGAAATATGGAAAAAAGGCCTGTCCTCTTGGGAGGAGTATAGAAATGTTGTCAGGGCTTGCAGGGGCATGACGAGGAAGGCTAAAGCCCACCTAAAGATGAGGTTTGCAAAAGAAATAAAAGATAATAAGAAGTGTTTGTTTGTTTGTTTGTTTTTTAAGTATGTAAACAGTAAAAGGATGACTAAGGATAATGTGGGTCCCTTGCTGAACGAGGGGGGGTGTCCTGGTAACAGGAGACACTGAGAAGGCGGAGATACTGAATGCTTTCTTTGCTTCAGTCTTTGTTTCAAGGACCCTCCCCCCTGGGACTCCTCGACCCTGGTGGGAGGAGAAAGGTCTGGGAAATGGAGGACTCCCCCCTGGTTGATGAGAGAGTGGTTTGGGAGTGTCTGAGTGAGCTCAGTGCGCACAAATCCATGGGTCCTGATGGGATGCGTCTACGTGTGCTAAGGGAGTTGGCAGAGGTGATCACCAAACTGCTCTCTATCATCTGTGAAAGGTCCTGGAGAACAGGAGAGGTGCCTGAAGACTGGAAGATACCCAACTCTGGTCTTCAAGAAGGGCAAGAAGGAGGATCTGGGAAGCTACAGGCCAGTCAGTCTCATCTCTTTCCTGGAAAGGTGTTGGAACAGCTTGTTCTGGATGCCATCTCCAAGCAATTGGAAGAGAAGAATGTTGAGTTGTAGTCACAATGGATTCACCAAGGGCAAGTCATGTTTGACCGATCTTGTTGCCTTCTGTGATGGCATCATCAGCTGGGTGGATGGGGGGAGAGCAGTGGATGTAATCTACCTTGACTTTAGCAAGGCTTTTGATACTATCTCCCATGACATCCTGGTAGCAAAGCTGAGAAAGTGTGGGATAGAGGAGTGGACAGTAAGGTGGGTTGAGAACTGGCTGACTGGCTGAGCTCAGAGGGTGTTGATCAGCAGCACAGAGTCTGGCTGGAGGCCTGTGACTAGCGGTGTTCCCCAGGGGTTGGTGCTGGGTCCAGTCTTGTTCAACATCTTCATCAACAACCTTGATGAGGGAATAGTGTCTGCCCTCAGCAAGTACGCCAATGACACAAAGCTGGGAGGAGTGGCTGACATGTCAGAAGGCTGTGCTGCCATTCAATGAGACCTGAACCAGCTGGAGAGATGAGTAGGAAGAAACCAAATGAGGTTTGAGAAGAGCAAGTGTGGAGTCCTGCACCTGGGAAGGAACAACCACATGTATCAGTACAGGCTGGGGGATGACCTGCTGGAGAGGAGCTCTGAGGAGAAGGACCTGGGGGTCCTGGTGTATGACAGGCCTCCAAGAGGGCCAATGTGTACCTGGCGTGGATTAAAAGGAGCGTGGCCAGGAGGTTAAGGGAGGTGATCCTCCCCTTCTACTCTGCCCTGGTCAGGAGTCACCTGGAGTACTGTGTCCAGTTCTGGGCTCTCTGGTACAAAAAGACAGGGATCTCCTGGAAAGAGTCCAGCGGAGGGCCACAAAGAAGATACGGGGCCTGGAGCATCTTCCCTATGAAGAAAGGCTGAGAGACCTGTGTCTGTTCAGCCTGGAGAAAAGAAGACAGAGGGGATCTCATCAACGTGTATAAATACGTGAGTTGTGGGAGACAGAGGGATTTGACCAACCTCTTTTCAGTGGTTTGTGGGGACAGGACAAGGGGTAATGGCCACAAGACAGAGCACAGGAAGTTCCACCAATATGAGAAAGAACTTCTTCATGGTGAGGGTGACGAACCACTGGAACAGGCTGCCCAGGGAGGTTGTGGAGTCTCCTTCTCTGGAGATATTCAAGGCCCATCTGGACGCCTATGTGGGCAGCCTGCTCTAAGAAATGTGCTTTGGCAGGGGGGTTGGGCCCAATGATCTTTTGAGGTCTCTTCCAACCCCTACAATTCCTTGATTAAAGAATCAAAGAATCACAGAATTGTAGGGGTTGGAAAAGACCTCAAAAGATCATCGGGCCCAACCCCCCTGCCAAAGCAAGTTTCTTACATCTGTCATGTTTGAACTATTTTTGTTAATGAGAAGGTTATTCAGTACCTTGTCAAAGCATACATAAATCTGCTCAGTGGCAGTACTTATAATTCATTTGAAGTGGATACAATTGATATTCATTTATTGTAGATAAAATTTGAAGATGCCCATTTCTCTTCACCTTTCCAGTTTATTTTCCCTTGCACAGCATAAATAGTTCGTAGTGACTGTGATTGTCCCCCATACACACCTGTTTAATCATACTTTTTCTTCTTTAATCAACCCATTTATAGCAATCTTTGCTTTTAGCAAAATATTGAGATGCAATCAGGCAAAGCTGTCAGATTGTTCTGTGTCTGAATGCAAGATGCTGATTACTGTTGCCACTGTTAGCTGAATAACACTATTAAAGGCTTTTATGAAGTATTTGCATTGCTTGTTCATACAAATACAAAATCATGGCAACACCATGGTGAGAAAGGAAACAATGCTCATTTTGTGACACATTTCTTCCAACACAAGACAGCAACAATAATCTGTGGAAAGTATCTGTATACACAGCACATTTGACAGTGTCTTTTGGTTTGTTAATTGCTAAATTATTTAAACAGCAGCTCTCTCTATTGCATACAGATTGTTGAACAGCTCTCAGCAAAGAGGGCAGAGTTGGTAGGGATGTGCAGATCCTTGCTTCTGTGGGATGTCCACACTGTGCTGGAGCTGTCCTGGAGGATAGGGAAGGAAAATGGGCCTACAAATATGAGGTGGGAACTAGAATAGTGGATTGTGTCATTGCAGAAGGTTTGTCTGTGGGACGGTATGCCTACTGTTCTGTTAAGCTTTATTACCACTGGATAAAGCTGCAAGGAAGACAATGCAATGTTAGCTTAGAAAATACAGTTGTTGGAGGTGCTGAGTGAAGGAGCGATTCCAGAGATCTCACCAAGCTAGGAGTTTTTCTACCTGAGGTAAAGAAGAAGGGTCTTGGTTTGTCTTGCAAGGCAGTAACACCTCAAGCTCTCCTTGCTGTCAGCTGCAGCTGTAAACGTAATGTAAATAAAAACTTACAAATGGGCAGGAAGCCTGTGTAGTGGTGCTGAGGCACATCTGCTTGCTTCCTCTGTCACTTTGGTATTGTTGTATTGTTTCTTGTATTCCCCCATAGCAATTATGCTACTATTACAAAAGAGAGTATCCCATTGTTTTAGTAAGAGTCATTCATGACAAGCTTGATTACAAAGCCATGCAGCAGCCAGAACTCAGCAGAGCACAGAAATTTCTTGTTGCAGCCTCATCCATGGCAGCAGGGAATGCCACAGCAGTATGGCCAAGGTCTGCAGTGGCAACACACATGAAGAGAAACTGCATGAAAAAGAGATGTTAGAAATGGCACAAAACCAGAATCCTTGTAGTGACCTGCTGATGCCCCTTGGCACCTATCTAAAAAGTGTCTCTGTGTTACAGTAATGCACTTGGGAGAAAATTGTCTGCCTTGTTTGTTGTGCTTTATTGCTTGCAAATGCCATTCTGGAATACTTGCTGGTGCATTTCTATTGTTTAATAGCCATTTAATAAGATCGGATAAAGATTTTACATTTTGGCTTTTGCTTTCAATTTAACGGGCACTGTGCAGAGCAGTAATGGCTCTGGTAATCAGTTTTCAGTGTCACATGACTGAGAGTACTGTGAGTGTGTCTGCTCTTGTCCAGCCATG